CATTATGAGTGTTTTTAAATTTCTTTTCCACTTTGTTTTCCTTCATTCAGCTATCTTCGAAAAACAACTGATAGCTGGCAACTCAAGTAGCACACTGGTGTATAACTTGATGTAAATTTGTGAATTTTGGTACAACTAATCAGATTTATACCAAAATTCGTTAATTTACACCAAGTTATACACCAGTGTGCTACTTGAGAATGCTGCACATGTTTCCGAAAGGGTTGCAGCATGTGGATTTTTCGTTTTTCGTTTGAGTCAGTGGAGGTGTTACCATACGTATTTGTATGTAAAATTTATTTTATTGTTAGTATAAAATGCAAAATCTAAAATCTACGGCGGTAAAATTCGTTTTACTGCGTTATATTTTTAAATTCACTGCGTGTTGGCGATAATCGTTAAATGTTCAAAGCTTAAGTTAGTTATGTTACATGTGTTACCCTGTCCTTAAGGACATTAATCGTAAGGGAAATTTATGAATTTGGCCCTTCTGGCAACTCCCCTTGCCTTGTGAAAATTTTACTTCATTTTGAATTCACCAAGCAGCGAGCAAGTAGGGAGGCGAAACAAAATTTCATTTAGGAAATAAAACTGCGCCGAAACGAATATCAACCTGTTTTATTCAAGTATCCCTAAAGCTGCAACATCTTTTATTTCATTTTTATTGGACATTGTCAACCTGCGAGGGTAAATGTGTTGTCTGATTGAACTGGTGTTCATGTTTAAGTTAATGTGACACGTGCGACATCCTGTAGCTCGTTTCTGTAAAAATTCTCTACCAAGGCGAATTGAGATATGAATTCGCCGCCCTGTTCTCTACTGCTAATGAGTAGTAGAGAATGACGTATATTCTCTACCAGTAGGGAAATAATCGGTAGAGAAAAGTTACAGAAACGAGCTACTGGAGTACGCTTCTATGAACACATATTTGGAGGTGAAGTAAAGGTCACCTTTTATTTCATTTTTATTGGACATTGTCGACCTGCGAGGGTAAACGTGTTGTCTCATTGGACCGGTGTTCATGTTTAAGTAAATGCGACACGTGCGACATCCTGGAGTACACTTCTATGAACACATACTTGGAGGTGAAGTGAAGTTGCATAGTTGCATCGAGGATTCCCTGGCCTGCATCGAACAGCTCGTCAGACAATAGTAGGCGAAGGGGTGAGTACCTGAAAATTGATTAGTGTAGTTATTGGGGGAGTCCGGTGTGGTGCGATAACGGTGGTCGGGAAAAAGACCCGTCATTACAACAACAAAGAGCTGCTAAAGGGCTATATAAAAAAAAAAAAAAAAAAAAAAAAATGCCGTTAACACGTTCAGCGTCAAATAGTCAGGGTACAGAAGAAAATAGCGGTAACGACGAATTAAATGCAACGATACGGGAACAAAATGCAACCGTACAGCAACAGTCGACAGCACTTGAACTGCAAATCAGTGCTATGGCAAGACAAATGGTTGAATTGCAAAATACGGTAGCGCGACTTTCAAACAATTCTAGCAATGAGCCGCCAAGTGTACGGTTGGGTGCGAGTAGCATGCCATCGGGGGCAAACGAAACAACAGGGGAAAACACCTCGATTGCCGAAACCCTAACAAATTTAAATCGAGTTTTAAGCAATTCCTCCGGTCAAGGTGCCGTTAAGAAATTATACGACTTACCGGAATTTGACGGGCGACCGGAGGACTGGCCAATGTTCCGCGAATCATTCCTCATGACAACTCAGGAATACCGTTATAATGAGCGACAGAATATGATAAGACTCCAAAAAGCCATCAAGGGGAAGGCGCGCGAGGTAGTCGAGTGTTTGCTCATTCATAACGATAATGTACCACAAGTTATTGAGGTGTTAGGGGAGCGTTTCGGTAGGCCAGAGTAACTTGTAAGGAGTCAAATTACGCGTATCAGGAGTTGTGCGCCAATCGCCGAAAATCGTTTAGACATAATGGTACCGTTTGCCACAAAAGTACAAAACTTATCCAAGTTTCTGGAAGCGGGTTGTGAACATCATATGGCTAACCCAACGCTTATGGAAGAGTTACTTTTAAAGTTGCCAATATCGCGAAGGTTTGAGTGGGCTCGCCATGCCATTACCATTACTTCGAGGGCGACGATCTGCCACTTTAGTGAATGGTTGCAGGGCGCTAGTGCTTGTGTCGTAAACGTTACATGCCTTAGTTTGAATCAAGAATCTAGATCAACCCAAGGAACAAATGAAGGAAAGATGAAATCCTTTCACGTTGGAGCGACTGGAACTGACCAGCAGAACAGCTGCGAATTGTGTACGGAGACACACCACCTACGAGAATGTAATCGCTTTGTAGAAATGGACGTCGAATCTAGATGGAGGGTTGTGCGGCAATGAAGGCTGTGCTTTAATTGTCTAGGTCGTGACCGTAGAAGCAACAAGTGTACCAAAAAACACAAATGCTCTGCGACGAACTGTTTGAAGAAAGTTCACGAATTGTTACACGCAGCCGAACAAAGAAATTCAAATGGTGCACGGCCTCAAGACGTATCAAGGCAACCAGTGTTTACTAAGGCGGTCGCTCAGCAAGAAATCGTAAATATGCTTTTCAGAATTTTGCCGGTGAAATTATATGCGAATGGTAGGGAGGTAACGTGTTACGCGTTTAATGATGAAGGCTCCGCAGTGACGTTGATGAACAAAAGATTGGCAGACCAGCTTGGCTTAAAGGGTAGCAAAGAAAAGCTGACACTGCAATGGTTTGGCAACAATTCCGTAACTCAAATGGTTTTACCAAGTAGTATTAAGATTTCAAGCCCTGATCCGAATAGCAGACGATTCTGCATGAAGAGCGTTAATGTAGTTGAGGAACTACAATTGCCAAAGCAAACGTTGAATGTGTCGGAGCTTCACTGGAAATATCGATACTCGAAACAGCTACCAATTGCCAACTACAAAGCGGTGGTACCAGAGCTGTTGATTGGTCTCGATAATGCGCATTTGGGTGTGGCAAAGCGGGTTGCTGCTGATGGAAGGCGTGGAGCCACAGTGGTACTGACGAAACTTGGTTGGGTACTTTATGGTCCAAGCAGAGCAAACTCCACATCTGTTAGTCACCATTCCTTATTTGCGCACATGAGCAGCGAATCGAATCTGGAACAGCTAGTAGAGGACTTCATCGCGAATGACAATAGGCAGGTCAGTGGCGTACACAATCACGTAGAGAGCGCGGCGATAGCGAGAGCCAACTATTTACTCAACACAACGACAGTTCGGAAGGGGCAACGATTCGAAACGGGTCTTCTATGGAAAAGTGATGACGTGGTTCTCCCGGATAGCAGGAGCATGGCAGAGAAGCGGCTCATGACACTGGAGCGAAAATTTAGCAACGATACAGATTTCCGAGAACAATACATGCACGTTATGGCTGAATACCAGCGAAAGGGCTACGTAAGGCGTTTGGGTGAGGCGAAGGCACAGGAGCGGGGCAGAAGAACCTGGTACTTGCCACATTTTGGAGTCCGCAGCGTAAACAAATCGGAAAAGCTGGGATTAGTATTTGACGCTGCAGCTGAAACAGATAGCGTTCCTCTAAATTCAGCCCTGCTAAGCGGACCTGACTTCGGTCAACCGCTAACGATGGTTTTAATGAAATTCAGGCAGAAACAAATTGGAGTTTGTGCAGACGTGGGAGAGATGTTCCATCAGGTGCGGATACAACGCCAGGATCAAGATGCACAACGGTTCCTATGGAGGAGGAAACCAGCGGACTACGTGATGATGGTGATGACATTTGGCGCGACTTGTTCGCCATGCTCAGCCCGGTTCGCTAAAAATAAAAATGCAAGAGAATTCCAGACGGTCTTCCCGGAAGCCGCAGATGCGATACTCAATAACCACTACGTCGATGACTACATTCACTGTTTTATGACTGAGGAAGAAGCTGTGCGTGTAACTAAGGAAGTAGTTTGGATACACAAGCAGGGTGGCTTCGAGTTGAAACGGTTTTTATCCAACCACGAATACGTAATTGAAATATTTAATGGTGGAGAAAGCGCCCCAACCTTGGTGAATCTCGATAGATCTCCTGAGGGTCAGCTTCAGCGGGTGCTCGGCATGTATTGGGATACCGCAAGGGATGAACTGAAATTTGCATTGTGGTTGGACAAAATGGATGTAAAATTGATGACAGGCGTCAGGAAACCCACAAAACGGGAAGCGTTGAGCATACCCATGTCGGTGTTCGACCCATTTGGTTTAGCAGCAGAATATTCGATAGTGGCAAAATTGATATTATAGACAGTATGGCGAGAAAAGGTAGGATGGGATAACGATATACCGGGTAAGGTCCAGATTTTTTACTTCAGAACGAATCCGAGTGGCCAGCAGTAGTGACCCACGCACGAACCCAAGAGGATCTCCGAGCAAAATTCGTATTTCACTTTTGCCTAAGTGACGATATATTTAAAAGATTTTCTTGTTTTATTCGTATGAAAAGAGTTATAGGATGGATATTACGATTTTGCAAAACCAGCCTGCAAAGGCATACAATTCTAAAGGAGTACGGGTATTTAACCGTCGCTTAATTAGGAGCATCGGAATTGCTAGTTTTCCGAGCGGTGCAAATGAGCGCGTATCCAGAAGAATATGAGACCCTGAGCGCGGGAAAACAACTTCAGCGTAGTAGTAAATTGTGGAAACTTACACCATATGTGGACGAAAAGGGAGTCATCCGCATAAAAGGTCGAATTGATGCGGCCGAAGCAATTCCTTTTCAGAGTCGTAGACCAATCATTCTTCCCAAGCAACACCACGTGACGGACTTGGTAGTTATGAGCTATCATCGTAGAACGAAACACCAGAATGAAGAGACCGTCATCCCTGAGATTCGTCGAAGGTTTTGGGTTTCCCACATTCGAGTAGCCGTGCGGCGCGCAGCCAAAATGTGCCAAACTTGTAAAATCAATCGAGCGCAACCGCAACCGCCGCTGATGGGCCAGATACCAGAGGATAGACTGACGCCTTTTCACGTGTTTAACGACGCGTGCTATACACTTGGAGATCGCCAAAGACCTCAGTACCGACACATGCTTGCTATGTATCCGGAATTTTATGAGCAGACGTGACACCCCGGTTCGCATACGATCCGATAATGCCACCAACTTTATTGGCGCAGACAAGGAATTACAGCGGCAAAATTCCAACTTCGTCAACGGCAAGATTGCTGATACCTTAGGGACTGAGCGCATAGAATGGATCTTTAATTGTCCACTGAATCCGCATGTAGGAGGCTGTTGGAAGAGACTAGTGCGCAGTGTCAAACGATCGATGGGACACGCACTATACAATGAGAACCTACAAGAGCACAGTTTGTATAGTCTTATGCGTGAAGCGGAAAATTTAGTCAATAGCCGCCCCCTAACACACATCCCAATGGAAACGCCCACCGACGAACCCATAACACCTAATCATTTTCTTATAGGTACCGCCAATTCGGAACAGACTCCTCATCCGCGAGAAGAAGAATGCAGAGTTTCCAGGAAGCAGTGGAGGCAGGTGCAACAAGCCCAGCATCGCTTCTGGAAAAAATGGTTGACCGAATACCTCCCCGATCTATGTCGGCGAACTAAGTGGTATCGTCCAGTTCAACCACTACGAGATGGCGACTTGGTCCTCTTGTGCGACAGCAATATACATCGGTCTAAGTGGCCCTTAGGAAGAATCATCCGCGTGTTCCCGGGGAAGGACGGTCAAGTCAGAGCCGCGGAAGTACAGACTCAAACTGGCGTATTTAAGCGACCGGCATGTATACTTGCAAAACTGGATGTTGGTGAATCTGACCAGATTTACGGTGGTCGGGATGTTGGCGATAATCGTTAAATGTTCAAAGCTTAAGTTATTTATGTTACATGTGTTACCCTGTCCTTAAGGACATTAATCGTAAGGGAAATTTATGAATTTGGCCCTTCCGGAGACTCCCCTTGCCTTGTGAAAATTTTACTTCATTTTGAATTCACCAAGCAGCGAGCAAGTAGGGAGGCGAAACAAAGTTTAATTTAGGAAATAAAATTGCGTTGAAACGAATATCAACCTGTTTTATTCAAGTATCCCTAAAGCTGCAACACTGCGGTTTACGAATTAAGTCCGAACAGTGATGTCGGTTCGAAGTATAGAACCGTTTCGTAAGTCATTTTCACTCGCTGGTTGTACTAAACTAAATACACTTTTAACTACTAAAAGATGCATTGTTCACATAACTTAATGTTAAATTCTAGAGGGAATACATTTTGTAATAAAATTTTAAATTCAAATTATGAATTCTACTGCATATTAGCCACCCTTTTTTTAGCCGAGTATCACCTACAATGGAATCCAAACTTTTTTTTGGGTGGCAGGCCAGTTGTAGGGTTCCGAGAATGGCTAAAAACTCTCCAAGTGTCGATTAATACGTGTTCGACAACTGCATGCGACGAAGTTGAACTACTAATTACGAATATTTGTAGATCAAGTCATTAACGGAAATAATTTTTTTTCATAAGAGCACTTAACATTGGCACTTCCAAATATAATAAATGCAATTTACAATTTTCGATGTGATTAAAATTTAACTTTTCCCATGCATCCCTGCACCATGGAATGTATGGCATTTGTGCGATCCACTTTTCATTTTTGTGGATCGCAAGCGGACATTCAGCCATACCTACACGCCTTAGTTTGTAAAGTTCACAGTTACAGAATCCTGTTTTATCCCCTGAACGAAAATTATTACGCCAAATACTTAGAGAATCTCCGCCTTAATTACAACTACACGCGATGAAGTTGAACTACTAATTACGAATATTAGTAGATCAAGTCATTAACGGAAAAAAATCATTTTCATAAGAGCACTTAACATTGGCACTTCCAAACATAATATATGCAATTTACAATTTTCGATTTAATTAAAATTTAACTTTGCCCATGCATCCCTGCACCATGGAATGTATGGCGGACATTCAGCCTATTTACACGCCTTAGTTTGTAAAGTGCAAATAATTGAGAATAATGACATTCACACTTACAGAATCCTGTTTTATCCCCTGAACGAATATTAATTACGCCAAATACTTAGAAAATGTCCGCCTTAATTACTCGCCACCCAACAATATTTCGTAATAGGAACAGCTGGTAAAATATGCCAATCTATTACAGTCTTTCCGATCACGTCAACGAACACGACGAACCTGCGGACCGAAATCTGAATCTTTCCGCCCGCCGCAGCAAACACCACAAGCGAGCCAACTTCGTCAGCAAAATAGAACGGTGGCAAGGTATTGCCAGTTAAGAGCGCCAGGTAGCTTCCGAAATAAACTCACAGACGAAATAATGCGCACACAAGTATTACGACCTATGACCTCTATTTCTCCACCGGCAGTTATCTAGGTCGAAGCAGGAGGAAGATTGCATCTTATTCGGGCCCTGATAGACGCATGTTCGCCGTCAACTATGATAGCGCGAGACCTTACGAGAGACCTTGGGTTAAAAACCCATCGAGTAGGGAACCAACGGGGCTGCCTTCTGTGTCTCAGAGAGAAGCACGGCGTTAACAAGAAAGTGGCAATTAGGGTGCTCACAGTTCTATATGACAGTATATTTTGCTTTGCTGCCTCTATGCTTAAGTGCACATTTAAGATACCTACCCCAAAATGCGCATCAAAAGCATTATTTTTAACATTTATAAGGAAACTGCTCCGATAGATGCATTCAACATACCTGCACATTGGCGATACGTGCCTTAAAAATTGTGCGACTAGTATCAATTATCAATGAAAGTATTACGTTTACCTGCACTGGCCCTACAATTACCTAATTTTACAACCTTTTATTTATTTTGCTCATCTCGCAGAACAACGAAAATGGCTTTCAATTTATGTAGTTATATAGATAATTAGATAACATTCGGTAAAAATTTCGCTTGCAGTAATTTCTACATGGTAAGTGCTCCGCCAATATTTGGTTTCATAGGGATTCGAATACCTTCCTCATTGAGTAGTAAAGAAAATTCGCTTAAGTGCCTTTTTCGGTTACGTGCACAAGTTTTTCGGGCAAAGGAGGATGTGCAGCTAAGCAAAATATGCTGTATCTACTGTGTTAATTTTGCCCCTGGTAACTTTAAAACATTTTACCATGTGGTAACTTTGTTTGTTGTTGGTTCCCATACTAATTAGAGATAACACCTTTGGGCAAAATTACTCGACTTTGTCTCATGTTTATGTTTTGTGTTAAACTGGCATCTATCGCTGCTTGTACATACATACATGAATTTCGCTTTGGGCGCAGCGCTGCTTGTACATAAGTTTCGCTTTGCGCCTGCCCGAAGCTGGCAAAGGTTCTTTTTTTACAACGCTTTTATCAACTTGCAATGGATCCAGAAACTTTCATGTTGTGTGTCCGACACCAAAGCAAAGCTTTGAAAAGTTCCTATAAAAAAGCATAGTGCATAGGGCGACAGCTGTAGTGAATAGGGCGAGGTAGATGACATCTAGATGTCGCCCTATGTACTACGTTTGCTACAGCGGAAATAGACGACACGCCATTTCTTTAAATAAAATTAATTGGTGCTCGTTTGTATGTACATACATATGTAAATGCATGTGTGTGCACCTTTCTATTAATATCGTTGAATTATTTTAATATCTATTGCAAACTTTTATTCAGACAGGACTAATAAGTAGAAAATAAATAATATAAAAAAACCTTTTTAATATACAACGCTTTTATAAATGGACTAAAAAGTAGAAAATAATATTTCTCAGTCCCATAGAATTTGTTTTGATAACTTTTGATTTTGAAATTTTAGCAAAAGTCATTATAAACAATCTATGAAATTGAATATGAAAAGCGTGGGGCGCATGTAATATACTTGAATTGATATGAAAAGTAATAGATGTATGTATGTATGTGGGTATATGAATAACGACCGCTTAAAATCGATTTCAAAGTTCTACTTTCGCTGTAGAAATTTTAAGTCTACGTTATGTAGTTTGACTATTGTCAATTAAATCGAATGTTTTGTATTGCATGCGCTCCACGTTTTTCATTTTCAATTTCATAGATTGTTTATAATGGCTTTTGCTAAAATTTCAAAATCAAAAGTTATCAAAACAAATTCTATGGGACTGAGAAATATTATTTTCTACTTTGTAGTCCATTTATAAAAGCGTTGTATATTAAAAAGTTTTTTTTATATTATTTATTTATTTTTGCGCTGTGCTAGCTTAGTATAAAAAAGAGAAGAGAGAATAGAGAGAAATATGTATGTGGTTT